TTTAATAGAAGAAGTATTCTTGCATTGAGGGAGTGCTTGAGTGGAGGCCCAATATCCTTCTGCTACCTTAATACTAAACCTATAAATATATGCACATAATCTATTCCCCCATCCTCATATACTTGCATATGTACATATGCAAGGTCTACATCTAGACCTCTATAAATGCCCTTTACCTCCCAGCTCTGTCTTCTATTTCCTTTGACTTCCCTCCTGTCCCACTATCATGCTCAGTCTCCACCAGGGTTTCAGCAATTCCTCTTTGTTACATTACCCTTGATCATGCCCTGCCAGGCCTCCCACACCCTCCTCACCACCGATTTGGATCACTTGTTGTTTCTTTGTTCCTGGGTTTGTTAAGACCACTACCTTTCCCTCCACCTCCCCCTCTCCCATGTCCCCCCAGAACTGTCGGGCCCGTTGTTTGCTCCTCCAGATTGTTCATCCAGCCTATCTTATTTAGGCAGACCTGCGGAGATAATAACATGCACAAAAACAAGACAGAACAAAACCAAGCAACAATGTACAACAAAACAACAACAAACCAATGACAAAAAAAAGCAAAACAAAACCCAACAAAAGAGAAAAGCTTGTAGGTAGTTCAAGGACTGTTTGTTGGCCTTAGGTGTGTTTTCCAGTCCAGTCTGTTGGGGCACCAAGCCCTGGCCCCAAAATCCACTTTCAGTATTCCCTGGGGACCTCGCTGTTCTGTTCCCTTGCTGTTCTGTTGCACCCCCTTAGTGTTTTGCCTTCGTGTGGCGGGATCGGATTGGGCGCAATTCCCACACTGTCTCCAGTGTTGTCCCCTGTAGGCCTATGGGACAGTGAGGGACGTCATGTCTCATAGTAGGGCCGGCCACGTGGTCCTCTCTGTGGACTGGCTGCTCTAACTGGGTACATTGTGCTCAAGGCCTGGTGGGCCAGGATGTGCTCCACTCTCTGCTCCTCCCCCTTCATCTTCTCCTGTGTGCTCGATCAGATATGTCCCTCTCCTGGAGCTGCAGATTCAATGCCATCCTTTGAAATATATTCTTCTGGTGGGAGGGGCTCTTTGTGGTTTTAAAAATGCTTGGGGTCAGTGGCTCATTTTTCTTTTAATGCCTCTTCCCATTCATTTTGTTTTTCTAATGTTTTGTATTTAATTTTTGAGTTTTAAGGGAATTGGTTCCTTTTTTGGTTTTGTATGCTCCATGTAGGTTTTCTGATTTGGCATACTATTATTTTAGAAGTTAATTTATGGCGTTTATTTTTTTTTATTTTCATGCAATTAAATAGATCATTCTCTTCCTTTACAGTTTATGGATTGCAATCTGTTGAAACAGGATGAAGCAAGGGGTTAATCTCTACGATGACAGCTCCCAATTTTAATCTCACTTTAACCTCTTTTCTAAGGGATCTTCGGTGGCACTAATGGTTAAGCACTTAACAACTGGCTAAAAGCTGTTCAATTCCACTCAGAGGCGCCTCGGGAGAGAGGCCAAGACAAATGCTTTGGAAAGGTCAGTCTTGAAACCCCTACAAAGCAGTTCTACTTTGCACAGAGGGTTGGTCAAGATTTGGAATCAACACGACAGCAACTACCACCGTGATCACCTCTTTTCTGAGCGTTAGCCTACTGTAAACAATAACCTACTTAATCGTACATGCTTTTCAATTTTGTCACATGTAAAATGCAACCCACGACCTGACCTACTCAAAGCGCTCTTCTCTCCAGTATTTAGCTGTAGTACATATATCCAGATGTGAGAATGCTAAATAAATGAGTATGTGTATTTGCAATTTGACAGATGTGGCTAACTTTCCTGCCACAAAGGTTATACCAATTTATACTCATACTAGCAGTATTTCCCCAACACCCTGCCAATAGAGTGTGCAATCCAACTTCCAGGTATTTATAATATGATAAAGAAATAATACTTTTGTGTAGTTTGTTTTGGTTATTATAAATAAGCATGAATATATTTTCATAAGTTTAATAGCAATATGACTTTTTTATTTACTACACCTTTTTCTGTTAGGTCATTGGTCTAGGTTATTGATTAAAACAGGAGCTCTTGATATATTAACTGTGATATAAGTGGCAAGTACTTACCCCAGTTTGTTTTTTAACTTGTGTTGTTATACTAATGTGCAAGTTTTAAATTTTTGTGCAGCTCAATCTATCATACTTTTTCTTATGCTTTCTTGATTTGTCAGTTAGTAAGGCCTTTACTTCAAGATCATAAAGGAATTACTGTTTTGTCTTCTAATATTTTCATGGTATTATTTTATATATTTCAGTCTTTGATCCACTGGAGATTATCTTGGTGGATGGGGAAGAAACTTTTTAAAAATCATTGCACCATATTATTCCCTTACTTAACAATATTTTTCTATTGTATTTAACATTAAATCTAAAATTCTTAACACAGTCTATGAACAAGTGTGAATCGGCCTGTTCTTCCTAAGAAATTGTTATATAGCATCTTTTCCACGCTTGAACTTGCTGCTTAGGGCTCAATGGATTGTTTATTTTCTCAGTTCTTCAAAATAGCTATGCTATTTGCATGTCTCCATATTTTATATGAGCTATTCTAGTACCCAAATGAAATCTCTCTGATATATATTCTGAAGAAGACTGGGTACTGTGCTGCTAACTGCTAACTGCAAGGTCAGCAGTTTGAAACTACCATTCCATGGGAGAAAGATGAGACTTTCTACTCCTGTGAAGATTGACAGTCTTGGAAACCCATAGGGAAGTTCTACTCTGTCCTGTATGGTCGCTGTTAGTAGGAAATGCCACAGCGACGTTAAAGACCTAAATTACTTATGTAACTACACATTCACTGGCTATCTGTCGTTCCTGCTGGGTTATAAACTTCACAAGGGGCTCCAGGTCTACTGCTCATCAATACGGCCTCACATCCCAAGGCAGTGGCTGAAACCCAGTAGCTTTCCAGATACGTACTCATTAAATGAATGAGACAACCAAAAGCAAGATGCTTAATGAAAGATTCTTTTGATAAAATCTAAATGCAATTTCTTCTGATTATTCATCAAATAACCTCTCGACTATAATTTAGTCTGCAAAGCAATCCATATAATCAGTCATGCAAATGACTAACAGCAGGCATTCTATCAGATACAGATTCCTTTATGAATTAATGAACTGTATTTTGGCTTATAAATTAAACTTTGATGATTATGATTAAAATGTATGAGTAAATCCCTAAACCTTCACTTTTGCTAGAACAAAAAGTTGGTCTATAGAATAAAAAAAAAATGAGCTTAGAATTTATATTTCCTTTGACATTATGAGTTACAATCAGCAGTAAATATTCAGGTAGGTATGGTAATCAGCAGAATATGAACCCATACTACTCTCCTGAGAAATACATTATGAATGTATTCAAACTGCCAAGTATAACTCACCTCTTGAAAGTTATGTTGAGTGAATTTGTCTGCTATCCTTAGCAACTCACGACATGAATGTGTGTCAGCAAAAGCCCGAATGCCTAGGCAGTTAGAAGGATCTAATTGTCTTTTTAAGAATTCACAGCAGGCTTCTTGTATTTCTGCCAGCTGGAGGAGGCAGGCAGCTGGCAGGAGGGTCTGAACATTACCCTCTTCCACAGTTATCTGGGAGGTATACGCAAAGTCAATCAGTAGCTCCATGGCTCTCTCATCTATGTCTCGGATCACTACTTCTGTTTGACGGCTCTCTGCCAATTCTCCTGTAAACATAGCTCTAAAGTATGGGCTACAGGCTGACAAAATGACTCGATGGGCATATATCTTCTTAGCACCCACAACTAGCACCACATCACATAGCTCTCGATGCTTTCTCAGATGGTTAATCACTTCCAAGGTTTGTCGAGGATGCTTGTCTGAGATGTAGGGCATGCGGGCAGGTTGAGGAACCCCTTCGGGCAGTTTGTTGGGGTCTCCAAGGGTGCAGCGGCTTGTTACATCCATTCCAGTCTCTCCTGGTCGAATGTTGGTACACCTGAGGAATTAGGGGATAAAGAGAAAATGGCAATATTATTAGAAGCTCATGTTTGCTCTAAAGTGTTCATAAACCCAGAGATAGAAATCTCTAAATACCCAAAGAGAGAAGTAGGTCTCTAAAAAACTACTTTTCTCAAGACTTTAGGAACCACAAACTTTCATCAAGTCTCTTGAAAGAGGCATGGCATCAATCCAAGTCAGAGGCCTTTTACTATGCACTTTCACACACAAAAGAACAAGTCATTTTTATTCTAGAAATAGTAGTCAGCCTGTCTTGGGCCATGTCTCTTATTAACTGCTTGTAATACATTAGTGGAATTATATAAGAAATATTTACAAGGGATTCTCTGCATAAAACAGAGCTATACACTTTCATTCCTTTATTTGGTTTGACCAAAATCTTGATATTTATTAATTTTCTAAAATACATTTGATGTTGAATTCTCATTTTTACTGCATATTTGAAGTTTTTCTAGGGTAGAGCAGAAACATCTGTAAAATGTAGCTCATATTGGCTAAAAAGATCAGAAATAAAACAGGACTCAAACAAATGAATTTATACGCAGTGCTGTGTTTCTTTGATTGGAAGATGTATCATTTTTCACAGCTTAAAATTTCTGAAATTGGGAAGCATATAAACTAGATGTCAAAGAAATTCGCCAGCTGCCAGGGACAGACACTGCGGCACTGTTATCACTGTTGCCACACATGGGAATTCAGCCACATTTCAGATACCAGAATTTTCAAAGTCCAGTGAAGCCAATGTGACAGATTGTTCTATCAGAAAACTGCAGTTGAGTGCTTTTGGTGAACTTTCATGGGAAGAAATTTTACTTCAAATGACTCATAGTTAATCTTTAACAGCTCTATTATTTAATCAAATAGCATATATGTCTTTGTTATGTCTTATAATTAGAGAGTCAATCACAATTGTTCTAAAGTAGTAAAAAAAAACCCCACCAACTCCTTGAGTTATGAAAAGTAGTGTGGCATTGTCATGCTATGAGTACTTGTTGAGGGCCAAAAAAACAGTTCAGGGGATTCAATAATCCCTGAATGAGAAGAAAGTTTAAACTCAAACTCTGATTGGGACATGCTTAGAGAGGCAAGTGGATAAAGGTATGGGACAGTGTCAGTTTTGTGTTCCTTACTCACCCACTGACATCGAGTCAATGTTGACCCATCGCAACCCCCGTGAGTTACTGAGACTGTAAATGCTGATGGGAGTAGAAAGCCCAGTGTTTCTCCCATAAAGCTGCTGGTGGTTTCAAACTGCGGATCACAGCCCAACTCGTAACCACTATACCACCAGGGCTCCCATTTGTGTACCTTAAAGGCAGTTTTAAAATTTTTAAAAAGTTGTTGTTAAATCTACTATGTGTTTTAGAACCAGAGTTTATAATAGCTTGTTCCCCACAAGGGAAAGAATCAAATCAAATAATTTGGAAGACAACATTCACAGAAAGAGATGAGTGAATATAAAGAATTAAAATTTGTGAGGCAAGCCACAAATTTCTTAAAATGTTTTAATTTGTTCTAAATTAAGCATCCTTCACCCCTAGTCTGCTCCCTCAAAATATGATATTATGGTATTAACTTTCTAAAACATTTAATTAGATTCTAGCAATAGCATAATAAAGTTTCAAAACAGGATTCTGAAACCAGATAAAACTGGGTTGGAATTCTAATAATGATAATTACTAAACAAGTTACTCTTTTTAATCTGTTTTAAAATCTCCCATAGGGGTAAGATTCTACCTCCGTAAGCAAAGATTAAGCAAACAATGCATATAAAAAGTTTCATTTTATTGCCTGCTACATACAGTGGGCTCTAAAAATTTGGAGGAAAAATTCCATTACCTTTTAATACCATTTTCCCACAAACTTTTTGAAGCTTCCTCATACTACTTAAAATTGTAATGATTGTAGAAATAAAACCCTTTATATTCACTTCACAGTAAGGTGGTCAAGTTTGTTGATGTTGTTAGGTGGCAGTTGGTTCTCATTCATACAATAGAACACAGTATTCCCAGGTCCATTTTAAGATTTATCCATATTAAAAATGAAATCCAAGTTAATAGGCTTCAATTATTTAAATGAAATTTGGATTGAGAATTCAGCAAGTGTGGATTGAAATTTGACTTTGTTTTAAAAATAATTTTGTGGTAAACTATATATATATATGAAAAAATGTATCATTTTAAATATCAAAGTGTACAATTCAGTGACATTAATTGTATTCACCAGGTAGTACTGCCCATTTCCAAATGTTTCTTCACTCCAAACAGAAACTCATACCTTTAAGCAGGAACTCCCTAACTCCAGCTCCTATAGCTTCTAATCAATGTTTTCCCCATGCCTTTGTTGATTCTATGTATTTCAAACAAGTGGTTGCTACACAATTTGCCCCTATGTGTCTAGCTTATTTGGTTCAGCATGTTTTCAACTCATTCAACTCATCGTTGTAGCATGTACCAGAACTTTTCATTTTTCTCTTTTGCTTAAAAACATTCCATTATGTTTGTGTAAGTACTGCAACTGACACTGGTGTTCAGATATCGATGTCCCGCTTTTCAATTCTTTCAACTGCATGACAGTGAGTTTGGTTTTAGTGGAGTTTCTTGGCAATAACTCTACGTTTAACTTTCTGAGGAAATGCCAAGCTATTTCCACAGCAGTTGCACCATTTTACATTTCCCCCACAAACACTTGCTTGAGGATTTAAATTTTTCCACAACCTTGTCAGTACTTAGGTATTTTTCATTTTCCTTTTTAAAAATTCATTTTATTGGGAGCTATTACACATATAACAATCCACAATTTAATTAGATCAAGCATAATTGTACACTTGCTGCCACCATCAGTTTGAAAACATTTTATTTCTTCTTGAACTCTTTGATATCAGGTCCCCTTTAACCCCTCCCTACTCCCCAGGACTCCCTATTATTATATTATATATTATTATTATTTTGCCATATCGTATGCCATCCAATGTATCTGTTCTCTTACAATTCTGTTATTTGTTCCCCTCAAGTGGGGTTATAGAGTCATCCTTGCTATTGGTTCCCCCTTTCCCCCACTCCCCAGCCCCCTTTCCCATACCCTAAAGGAACCATTACTTTTGTTACAATTTCTGAAGGGTTTATTTATCTTGGATTTCATGCATTGAACAATCTTAATTATACAAATGAACACACGCAGGTCTAACAAGATTTATGAGGTAAAACTAAGACCATAATAGTAAGGGGAGGAAATATTAAAGAATTAGAGGATAGTTATGTTTCATCAGTGCATTTTTCTGATAATATCCACCCTAGTGGATATGATACAATATCTCATTATACATAGTTTTTCATTTACATTTCCCTATTGACAATTTTTAATGTACTTGTTGGCTATTTCTATATCTTTTTAAAGGAATGTCTATTGAAGTCTTTTACCCATTTTTAAATTGAGTTGTTTCTTTTTTTGTTGTTGTTAAGTTGTAGGAGTTTAAAAAAATATTCTGGATATTAAACCTTTCTTAGATATATGGTTTCCAAATATTTTCCCTCATTCTGTAGGTTATTTTTGTACATTATTGATAATGACCTTTGATGTATAAAAGTTTAAATGTATAAAATGATATATAAAAGTTAAATTTAAAGTTAAATTTTTGATGAATCAAATTTATATTGGGTATAATTATGATGTCAGCAATTCCATGTAAATTTTAGGCCAGGCCTTTCCATTTCCGTTCCTTTGCCCCCAAAGAAAAGCTGTTGGAATTCTGGTAAAAGTCGCATTAAATCAATAGATCCCTTTGGGTAGCATTGACATCTTAACAATCTTGTCTTATAACTCATGAACATGAGATTTCTTTCCAATTATTTTTTTCTTCTCTAATTGCTTTCAGTAATGTTTTATAGCTCTCAGCATATAAGTTTTTTACCTTTTGCTTACATTTATTCCGAGGTATTTTATTCTATTAGATGTCTTACTATATGAATTGCTTGCTTAATTTGTTTTCCCCAGACTGTTCATTGCTGGTGTATAGAAACACAAAAGATTTTTGTGTGTTAATGTGGTACCCTGTCACTTTGCTGGATTTATTTATTATAGTTCTAGTAGCTTTCTTGTGGATTCTTTATATTATCTATATATAGACTCATATCATTCACAGCTATGTCATTCTCCATCCTAGTTGATACCTTTAACTTATTTTTCTTGTTTTATACTTTGTGCCCCTCAATTTCTTCAATACTGCCTAATTTTGTGATTAGCTGAGTTTTTTCAGTAAAACATTTTGATTAACTTCTCACTTCCTTTTGTGTATTGTGTTAGTCTGGGTTGACTAGAGAAATTCATAGACACTCATATGTGTGTAAAAGAGCAACTGAACATTAAGAAAACGTCTTAGCCCAGTCCAGATCAAGTCGATAAGTCTGATATTAGCCCTTATGTCCAATACCAATGTATAAATTCCTCTTTAGACTCATGAAACACATGCAATGACGCCGAATGCAGGACTATCACAGGACAGTGGGTGCAAAGTCTTATGGATCCAGTGGTGGTGGAAGCATCTCAGCACTGGCGTGGGTCTCCACATGCACATGGCTCCTCTAGCTCCAGGGTGCTAGTGTAGCTCCATGTGTCTGGTCATCAGGAATATGTGTCTGATCGACAGTGAGCTATCTATCTCCATGGAGACTCCAAAACGGTTCATGAAGCTGCGACCTGATTGACAGGCTAGACTTCACCCCTTTACAAGTTAACATCAGATTACAAAACTAACACATAATATATCTTAAAGATATGTGTGTGTGTGTATTATAATGCATGTGTGTGTGGTTACCATGGGGATTACATTTAATATTCTAAATTTCTAAGAACCTAATTTGGGTATATATCAGGAGAGATCAGTGCCTGGAATAGGATGCAATTCTTGATAAATTAGGGAAGAAAAGGAAGACCCTCAAGGAGATAGATTGATGCAGTGATTATAATTATGGACTCAAA